GGATGGGTGATGTGCAGTGATCACTGTGATGTCTGGCCTGGGTGGATAGAGAGTCAGAACCTGACAGTACCTGACAATCCATTTGTGATCGGGTCGAACCGACCGTATCTGCACTGTGATCATTGATCAACTTCCAACACCTCGTTGATCTGCCATCAAGCTCAGGAACATGTGCCACACGGTCATGCAAACACACCCAATCATCTATGATCATAATGTATCCGCCGACCCCGGCTGAAGGAGGGGGAGCGCGCGAGGGATTACAGGTGCGGGAGCCGTGCGCTTCTTCGTCTCAGCACGAACCTGCAGGCAACAGACGCTTCCAGTGCTCCATGCTGCTCGAACACATGCATCACTGGAACCGCAACCTACAGCAACATACGAACCCCTCTGGCGCTTGCTCACCATGTCGCGGTCGTTCTCCCTTAGGCCCCCACCGATCCGGAAGCAGGGGTGGGCGCCGAAAGTGTGACCATGGGAGGCTCGGAGGCTCGTTTTGGATCAGACTTAGATTGGAAAAAGCTGTGGCGTGACCAGGGGTTTCGGGGCCAAGATGCGCGAGAAAAAATGGAACTATCTTTGTGCCATATACAAGGATCCAGAAGCAGCGTTTGGCACCGAAAGTGCGACCATGGGAGGGCGTTTTGGATCAGAAGCAGATGGGCGAAAGCCGTGGCGTGACCACGTGTTTGTGGCCAAGATGCGCGTGAAAAATGGAACCAGGTGTGGGAGCCTTTGGTGTAGAAAGGAAAGAAAAGTTTTTTTAATAGGGATTCAGAGGGGGCGTTTGGCAGCGAAAGTGCGAGCAGGGGAGGCTCGTTTTGGATCAGAATTAGATGGGGAAAAGCTGTAGCGGGGTCAGGGGTTCGGAGCCAGGATGGGCGCAAGAAAGGACTCCACTCCACTCCACTCCACTCCACTCCACTCCACTCCACTCCACTCCACTCACTCACTCCACTCACTCACTCCACTCACTCACTCCACTCACTCACTCCACTCACTCACTCCACTCACTCACTCCACTCACTCACTCCACTCACTCAGTCCACTCACTCACTCCACTCACTCACTCCACTCACTCAGTCCACTCACTCAGTCCACTCACTCACTCCACTCACTCCACTCACCTCACTCACTCCACTCACCTCACTCACTCCACTCACTCCACTCACCTCACTCACTCCACTCACCTCACTCACTCGCTCACTCACTCGCTCACTCACTCACTCGCTCACTCACCCACTCACTCGCTCACTCACTCACTCGCTCACTCACTCACTCACTCACGCACGCACTCACTCACTCACGCACTCACTCACTCACGCACTCACTCACTCACTCACTCACTCACTCACCCCACCCACCCACCCACCCACCCACTCACTCACTCACCCACCCACCCACTCACTCACTCACTCACTCACTCATGCACTCACTCACTCACTCACTCACTCACTCACACACACACACACACCTCCTCCCTCCCCTCCTTCTCATCCTCATCCATCACATCATCACTTATACTACACGTCTTAGCACAACCGCCTCATATACCTTCTCTCCTCACACTTCGTTCTTGACTTTTCATCTCACTACTCCGTCTCCCATGTGATGTTCATATACAATTGAAATTTGTAAAACTTATCATGTGGGGTTATCCGGTCCTTTTATTCAAAGTTGCCAATCCGAGTTCTTTTTTTCTCAAGCAGTGCCTGCACACGTTTCAGCCCATGCCAACTCCAACCCAATGCCAAAAGGAAACTGCCTCTTGCAGGTACCAAGATACTGGTATGGGCATCGGTTGGCAAGGAGTTGTGCCGAGGCCAAAGGGCCTGCCGGGTAGACTTGTGAGTCAAGTCGATGCACGTTTCGCTGATGCAGAGCTGAATGGCATGGAACAACATGCAAAAACAGTTGAGGAAATGCACTAAGATGGCTCGTACCGCCTTCAAATGTGCAAGGCAGGGAGACACTTCTTTGTTTGTTGTTTGCTCGCGCGTCACAGTGCGATTCGGTCTGCAAATGTGTTGTGTTCCTCAAGGCCATATCTCATGGGACCTCGAGATTGGTTTGCACGAGTGGATACCAGTGTCCTCTTCTCAAAGGCGAATTCTTAAAACACACCTGGAAGCCAAATGAGCTGTGATGGCTTTTGCCTGGCAATTTTTGGCCTTTTGGGCTTTTGCTGCTTCTTGATGCACAGAATTGACAAGGTCATATTAATACATGCAGATCCCTTCTTGGTAATTCTTCGTAATCTCAGATGAATATGTGCCTGTCGTATTTGGCCAGATGCATCCCATGCTCGAGCGCGTGGTTCGGGCCAAATGCTTATTTCCTTGGTCCAGTTGTGGCCCGCAGTGATGTGCAAGTCGCCGTGATCCCCATCTGTGAGGCCACTCCATGGGTGTTTTGAAGCAGATGGGAACCCCTAAGAGCTGATGGCTGACATGAGCATCCATCCAGGGACATCCACGGAGATCCACCGATCTTCACGGATCCACCGGATGAAACCCCTGCTTCGCCTCGGTGCTTTCGGCCCAGGCCACGATCAACAGCGTGTCGCGGCGCCATTTCCCGTCCATCTTGGCACCGAGCTGAGCTCCATTCTTTTTGTGGGGGCGGAATGATGATCTGGGTCGGCGAAACACTTGGTTTCGTACCCCCTTTGAGGTGGGCAATGGGATATTTTGACTCACATGACTCACATCTGCGGAACAACAGACCGCTTAAGTAGTGCAAGAGTGCTGTTCGCTTGGCCACATAACTCTCTCATTTCTTCTGATTCTGGAGGGAAGGGTTCATGTAAAGGTCAACAGCCGCTTGCCCAGCAATGTGGAAGAGGAATTGGTGGCTTTAGCTATGGAGCAGGTGGAGGCGCATCCATCACATGGATTTTGTTCTATACAAGAACACAATAGCGATGGCCTCCAACCTACAAGCCATGGCCTCCAACCTACTTTATACTTATGTATATATATTTATATACATACTCATCAAACGAATTCTTTGAACAGTTCATCAGCATCCTCGTTTCTTGATAGCTGGCCAGCTGTCCTTCGGCCGTAACTTTACTGTTGCGAAGGGTTCACCGTTCGGGAGCGCTAACCTGCAGGAAACCTTCCCAGAGATGTGGGACAAGATCGTGGACCTTCTTTGTGACTCCGAGCGAGGCCGAGCTTTTTTGGCGAAATCTATTTTACTACCATTTCTTTTGGGGGACCGCTCTCGCGCGGAGTGGCCGAGACACATCGGGAAACTGGTAGCAATGGACTGTACCAGTAGGTTGTTGTTGTGTTGTTCGGACAAGATGTTGGAATCAGGAAGCTCTTGGTCCTTTCCTGCACTGACCCTGTGAAATGCTAGGCCTGGACAATGATGGCATGATCGTCAGCGTCTTCACCCAGAACAAGGCAGTAGCTTGCCGTTTTCTGCAATGTGGCAGCTGATCGAGCAAAGTTGGAATCCACCAGGAAGCAGTGGTAAGTATGTGAAGACATGGTATATCGCCTACTGTCCGATGTGGGTGTGTACATGGGGCGGCCCAAGACTTGACAGTTCTTTTTCCAGGGTCTTCTAGCTTCCATTCCCGTTCTTTCCAAGAAGAACACATAGGGGTGCGGGGAGTGTTCTCTTTTAACCGTTAGCGCAACATCCTAGTTCTCAACGATTCAGGAGCTCCTGAATCTTTTCTTCCTCTCTTTGGGGGAGAAGGAGTTTCGCTTCATCGAGCGCCGGGGAACCCAGAGACATGCGGTTCCATCGGCACAGAAATCCATCAGTGTAACGGCTACAAGTCACTGATGGTTGGAAGCGGTCAGAGTAGCAAAGGTCCTTAGACTACTTGCAGTTTGTATATGGATATTTTTACGCGATGACAACATGTTTCTTTGACAGTCTTTCAGTCTTTCTGCATATGTCTGAAAACAGACAACGAACAACAAATACAACCCGCAGTTCAGACAATAGTAGGTATACGACTCAGACCAAACGAAGCGCATGCCAGGTTTTTGACAGGAGTTCTGTCCAAACCACCTTAGATGACCTCCCCCCATTGTTGAAGAGCCGATTGGGCTGCGCATATCCGTGGATCTTCCCAGGTTGTGGGGCAGCTCTTGGCTTTGTGTGCGGTCTCATCCAGCCACTTTGCAGAACTTGGGCACAACTGCACAGCCTGATGTTGGGCACAGGAAATAGCCTCCAACCTACTAGCGATGGCCTCCCTAGAAGCGATGGCCTCCAACTACATAAAAATACCATATATCTTGGGATCTTTGCCAACCTCGCTGTCTCTGTGTGTGGGGTCTCCTAGGCTCATGGCCTTCAACCACTTGGATGCAACAGGTCGCGACCGGTGGTTCAGCCCGGTGGCAGTGGGAGTAGTGTGGTGGAGCATGATGCGTCACATGTTTTGTTGTTTTGTGTTTGGTCACACCTGCTTGTGTGTTTTTTTTTTTGCTTTGTTTTTAATTGATTGTTTTCAGTTTCCACCTTGTTTAGATAGATTCTAGTGTAAGAGCACCTCATCGATCTTTAAATGCAAGAAAGAGGTGGCGTGGCCAAGTGGGATCCTCAGTGGTGTGGTTTGCGTGGTCCGTGTTTGCCAGGTCGAATGATCCTCTTGCCGGGCACGGGCTTCTTCCTGGGCATTTTCACCAACTGGTGCCTTGCAGATATACATGTCAACGTAAGAAACGTAACATGGTTTGGGATGCAATGTTTTGACCCAATGTGGCCATTGGGGATTGAAGATGAGTTGTTTGAAGAGCTTCACATCCAGGCTTGCCATCCAGATGTGCTTCAAGCCCTGCTTCCCACGACCCATCAATGTCCGGCGCCTATGATAGGACTTTCTCCTTGTGAGATGCTTTGCAATGCCTCTAACTCAAAAAATTGGCCACTCCAGTCTGAACGCATCGATAAACACCGACCAATCTCTGAGGTTTGTGGGAAACACATCTACACTATCCAAGGGCTTTTTCTCAAGAGACAGAGGCCTGAAGAATCCTGTTTTCAGCTCCAAGCAATGGACACTGATTCAGAGTGATGGACAGTCATTTCTTTGCCTCGCAGGGATGTTGCCGTTCTTTATTCCAAAATGCTGGTAGATCACTTTTTTGACTTTGACAAGGCTGGTGCCTCAGAAGAATCATTCAACCCATTTGGCTTCCATGTTCAGAAAGTCAATGTTCGCCTTGAGTCTTTGCCCCAAGACGCACAGACAACCGCACCACTGAGGTGGTGGAGTATTTGCAGACTTTGCCGGTATGGGCGGATCTGCATGTGGGAGACCTTGGTTGATGTGCAAGCTTTTACACCTGTTCGCACTGCTCACTGCCCACTTTCCCGTGAGAACACACGAACTCGCACGCAGTGCTTGCTGCGTGTGTTTGCAGGATGCATACTGCCAAAACACCAACAAGATGATGAGAAAGACCATGGGCCCGGTGACCGGATGGATAGTACTGTCCTTAGGTGTTTGGTGTTTTTGAGCACACTGACATGGAGAAGAAGAGTGGAATTCAGAGTGGCAGAAGGTTGACGCTGCTGCAGTTTCGTTTTATGAAGGTTTAAGAGTGACGGCAATCCAGGAGCTTTGCACCCGCCCTCCGAACATGCTTGGCAAAAATCCCATCAGCCAGTCAGAGCGAAAGGTGTAGAACCATGAGGGGAAGTGAGCTCAAGTAATGGATTGTGAGTCGATTTCTCCCTTGCAATGCATTTGTTAGCTCTTTCTTAGACACACATCTGTAAGTGATTCATCATCATTTTAATTCAATAGACTAACACCAAAATGTGTTTTCAAAACCTTCGGGTTCGCCCGGAAAGCACCCCATGTCACACAGCGAGAAAGCAAAACCCCCCCCCCTCGTTGACTCGGTCCGACGCGTCGGGCCGACCGACCCCAGGCACGGCGGGTGGCGTTGGGCCCGGAGAAGTTCAAGGCCTTGGAGGCGGCGGTTCCCGGAGCGGAGCGGAGCGAACCCGCGGAGCGAACCCACGGCGGTGAGCGAGAAACACGCGCGGTCAGCGTGAACCGCGGTGTTTTTTCTTTGGGCGGTTCAGAGGGATGGACAGTGGTGTGGTACAGGTTGTGGGTCTTCAAAATGGGAATAGTGGCTACATCTGGCGACCACTTCTTTTCCACCAGCCCATGTTGACCAGTGAGGAGTCAGAGAAACCACGACTGTCTTGCGCCCATTCAGGATGACTTGGTGGGAGCCCGGAGCCACAGCTGATAACGAATTAGCACTTACCCCATAGATTTTCACCGTTGACCTGCACACAATTGGTTTAGGATTTAACCTCGGCCCACTTGTTTTTCAACCTTTGGCTTTCGCCCACACATGTCTTACTCTTGCGTCTCAACGTGTCTGAGTACTCTTGAAGAGTTTCTTAGTGCCATCATGTTGCAACCCGCAGTGAGCAGCCAGCCGGTACATCAGGCGTCTGCAGAACGCATTGCGGAGTCAGACGATCTTCACGAGGCTGCACGATCCCTAGGGGTTGGCAGATGCCGAGAAGTATGTAGAATGCAAACCAGGGTATTGGCGAAGTATCAACATTAAAGTCTACCTTACCATACCTTACCTACCTGTTTCACAGATGTGTTTCTCAAAACATGTTGGAGTGACAGGTCTTCGCATGAAGCGGGGTGCAGAGCTGAGGCTGCCCAGTACATCTCCGTTGCCACTGATGTGTTCAGGCACTGAGCTCAAAGATCCAATACAGGTTAGCAAGAATACGCAAGAATACTTTCAAGTGATTTTGCACCGTGTTTTGACATTGCATGGTCCTTGCGATGACATTGGTTCCCAAATGAGATGGCTGTCGATGAACCGTGCGAGAGGTCCAATGCCAGTGCCATGCAAAGAATGTTCGTCTCCTAGCCCGCATCATCAATGCCCGCCTCATTAATGCGGCTACGTTGATGGCAGATTCTTTCCTTCCAGCACAAAGCCGCTTTGCCTCGTCATCCCCATCCCCCGTGGTCATCGAGCTGAGGCCACCTGACGAGTTTGAGAATCTGCTTCATCCGGTCTTTCAAGAAGATGAGCCTTGAAGCTCAGATGAAGAGATGCCACAGATGTGGATGTTCGGTTTGTTTCTTGGTTTGGCCGCTGTTTTTGTTGTTGGAAGACTGGGATGACTGGGCGAGAATCCCGAGATGTTTGTTTGGAGGTGGATCCTCATTCTACTTGGAGGCATCCTTGGTGCCATTGTATCTTGGCTCGATCTGCAGGCCACAGATCAACCGAAGAGTGTGCTTCCAACGTGTAATCAACCGAAGGGTGTGCTTCCAACGTTTCATTGATGTTGATTCTTCAAACTCGCTTCAGTGGCAGGCAGCTCGGTCCATACTCTAGCCTCTCAACGAATGGAGGTTGCCCTCCATTCTCATTTTCCTGACATCACTACAATAGGAGGCTGTCATTCAAGCGCTTCGGTGAAATTTGCTGGCTCCTTTGCCCTCCTTCAATGCCTAGGTCGGAATTGCCCAGGTCCACTTCCTCTCGGAGTGATTGGTTGGAAGCACCCGCCAATGCTTGCGGAAAAGAAAGTGGATCCTTGCTTGATGATTGCGTTGGATCTCTATCCTAGGAGTTACTTTGGCTGATTAATTGTTTCAGCCCCTCCATATGAAGTTTACATGTCCAACGAACAGCTGGAACATGTGCACTTCGTCTTGCAATGCTGGCTTTTAGCTCATGCAGCATGATGCAGCATGATGCATTCATCTCTTCCCCACTCAAGTAAGATCTATAAACCTGTTTCACCACAAGTTGATGACGATATTCAAGAGTCTCATGGATCCATAAAACATCGACAGGTCCATGTTTGCTGCCCTATTCTCCGCCCCCCGTGTGTTTTGGAGACTTGCTTGGTACTTTTGGAGCGAGCGTCTGGTAAAGCTTCTTTGTGCAGCTTTATTTGTCTAATTAAGGTCACACACACACATTTACTTACGTAGATACATCACGGAGAGCCGCCATGAAGTTCATGAAGCGGCAATGCATCAATTTGAAGGACTGCCGAGGCATGTCTAACTGTGAGTGCAGACTATTGGAGATGGTCATGTAGTCTTCGTTGGGATTCTTTATGAAGATGACGTGCAATGTACTGTTAAACCTTACCGCTATACCTTCAGCCATAATAATAATAGGGCTTTTCTTGAGCTGGCTTGAGACAGTTCCAGACTCTCAGGAAGGTTTCGTTCTTTCACTTTTGCTTTGCGTCAGGTTCCACCGCTTTTTCCCCACTTATTCCCTGGCATTCCCCAGCAGTCATGGTACTGGTAGAGACAATGATAGAATTTCGCCGCTTCGATTTGTGTCTGACATTTCACAAAAAGGTTTGGGTGATCCACGGCTTCAACACAAGACTCAGGAATCATGTAAGCATGGAGTGTTTCGTTTATATCCCGCACCTCTGTGTGGGTGAGGCCTCACGAACCAATGCGTTGAGGAGTGCCCGGTTGACAATCGATGTTGGAAAAGTGTCAGCGAGTGCCAATTTGAGTCCTGTGGCAATTTCAGTGATGCTGTTCTGGAGAAGCAAATTGAACGATTTGACTATAGGTCGGCTGCGGCTATTGCTTGTTGCTGAAATGCTGAACTCTTTGCGGACATTTGTTCCGCAGGACACCTTGTTTCGCAATGCGCCCTTAGTGGCGGCGCTTCTCACCACACGATTGGGCAAAATTCACCACTGGGGCTCACAGGCAGGGCTTCACCGATCTTCGATTTTGGGTTCAAACAGTGGCGAGTGTGGTCGGCGTAGCCCAGCTCTTCAGGTTCAAAGTGCACATATGCCTTAGCTATTTGGTCGTCTGAAAGGCCTTCACATGGTGAGGGTTGCGCCCGCAGACAGTAGCGAACTCAATAAAGGTTGGTTGCGACTTCTTTTTGCAACAATTGTCGTAGAACAAACTGCAAGCAGGACGAGGGAGGAGGAGAAGGAGGAGGAGGAGAAGCAGGAGCAGGAGCAGGAGCAGGAGGAGGAGGTGGAGGAGGAGGAGCAGCAGGAGCAGGAGCAGCGAGCAGGAGGAGGAGGAGGATTCAAAGTTTTATAGATCCTAAACCCATTCAGCAATCTAGATCTGGCTGAGCAAATCAGTGTGGTGTCGCGTGCAAGCTTCGCAAGCTTCCGTGCTATTGAACATAATTGTATGAGTCGGAGACACATGTGCCTCAGTTCTGCGCGGATCGTGTGACATGTCATCGAGGTGCGATGTGCAGAGACGAGACCTGACCCATTGGCGGATTGCAATGGAAGTTGGGACCCAATTTGGAAAGCATGTCCTTGGCGCTTCAATATTCACTGCGACTTGATGCGACTTGGCTGACTGAATGAGATACCGCATTACTGTTCTCTTTGTGGTTGTTTCTTCATGTCTCCACTTTGTGGTTTCGAAGTGTTGCTTAAGTTGGTTCGTTTCAGTGCTTTTTATTGTTTACATGTCAAACTGTGCATGGCTTGGTTCATTTGTGATGTTTTCTGTGACGTGCCTTAAAGATCCTTAAAGGCTCTTTGGGGGCATTGGCTTTGGCAGGTTGTACACACTCTGGGCTCTTGTTTAGCATCGGTCCCTTTGCTGTGCTCTCTCATTGCTGTGATCTTTCAGTTGCAGGAGCTTGGCTTGCCTCCTGCATAGCCATTTGTTCTGTTGATTCTTTCTAGAGTATGTGTTGGAGCTGTTGTTGTTTCTTCTCTCTTGGGACTGCAGGTTTTGTGGAACTGGGGAACACAATGTTTCTTTGATGGTTCGTGTATCTGAGGTCAAACAGGGGGCATTGTGCACTGACCTGAAGTTCAGTGTGAAGGCTTTTGACATCCGGCAGCCTTGCTTGTAAATCCAGCCAAGTGGCACCTTCATTGCGTGTGATGATTGGACAGTTGTGGTACCTGTATCACTTGCACAGACACCGGCGTCGCTGTTTGGCAGAAAGAGCAAGCTAGCCTGGATTGTCGTTAGCAACCCCAACAATTCGATGACTGGTAGCAAGTGTACGCTTTCGCAAGAGCTTTATGTGCAGAGCGGCGATTCAAGAAAGCCCAGCAGCTAGGAGTGAGAGAAATTCAAGCAACTTCAGGCATTAAGAGGTTGGTGCAGCTTCTTGGATTTGTGGAGGCTGTGTAGGTGGGAGGTCGCAAGGATTTCAGGGCTACGGAGCGCGAGAAAGCTGCACTTCAGCATCGTTTTAAGCCCAATTTGCCGAATGAGTGGCACACTTGTTGAAGTTGAAGTTGATGGTTGGCCAGTTGTGGCACCTCTATCATCTGTAGAGACATCAGCATGTTGACTTCTCGCAAGACCAAGATGTTTCTTCAGCCACGCTGTGGTACTGCATGATTCGACCCCATGCTTGAGAGCACAAAGATGCAGACGCTGAGAATGCAATGGCACTTCGCTGTCAGCAAGTTTCGATGCCGCTGCGCAAGCATAGGCCGGCAGTCCTGCCTTTACCTTCTGAACGGATGTGCCCGACCGCATGCTAAGAATGCACAAGGACCCAAGGAAGGCTTTTGACATCCGGCAGCCTTGCTTGTAAATCCAGCCAAGTCGCACCTTCATTGCGTGCATGCTTGCTGAAGTTGATGATTGGACAGTTGTGGTACCTGTATCACTTGCACAGACACCGG